CCGACACATGCATGAACAGACCGACCTATATGACTTTCAGGTCCAGTATAGGCTGACCTATAACATTTTAGGTCAGCTCCTATGGAGCAGTATTGAAGCCTGTAGCTTCTTTCCACAGGCTGCCTCGCATAGGACAACCTGTACATAACACAAAACCTTCATAGGCAGACCTGAGACCTTGATAGGCCGACCTGATTGCATTGACAGGCCGACCTATTGCTTTGACAAGTTAGCCTATATGATTTCCCAACCTAAAATTTTCTTTCTTGCTCCAACTTATTGCATTCCGTTTGTACATTTTTCAACACTTACCTATATATACTCAGACATGCATCTTCATTTAGCAAGGTACTAGCGAATTACTTATATAAAACTAGATTACAAATCATTTCCATCATCTTCAACCTCTCTTCTATGCATACACAAAACTGAACTACACATAATCATTTTTCCCTTGGGTGACCATCTAGATTATGGTTGATAACGTCCAATTAGGTTGGTGTAACCGAGAATGTTGGGTTGAGATCTTTATGTGTTTCAAATAATAAAACCAAGGTGGGGTTTTTCTTCAAAATTGGTGTGATTTGAAGGTTTTGGATAAGATCACGTCAACTTGGATTCAACCGAGTGAAAAACTTAGGACATGGTGGTTTCTTTGCAAGGGAGTAGCGTGTGACAATGAATTGTGTTCGTGAATCTCAGGTTCAACAAGTGCGTGCTCAGGATAATCGGAAGAGTGTAGTCGTATTATTGGTAACTTGATCAGGCTTTGATCAAGGGTTTGGAGGTGGTTGAATAAACAACAAATAATAGGGTTTATGGTGTTAGAATTCTTTACCTCTTGTATAAACATTTTTGCAAAGATAAAGTTAATTGCAGGTATCTCAATTCGATTGGGATTGAGGGCAGACATACCCATAGCGAGGCCGCTTGGGGAACAACCTAAACAAATCTTTGTGTCTTTTTATCACTTTATTTTTCTTTAATTGATGTTCTTGCAAATTATTGATTTCGTTGTTGTTTCGATTAATTCAATTGGAAATTGTTTTCAACTATCTTCTAAATTGTTGTTGTTGATATAATCACAACCATTTTGATTCTGATTGACTTTTTACATCAAAAAAACAAATCGAAAATACAAACGTGAGCAATCGCTCACAAAGTGTTTGATAAATTATCTTTGAGTATTTTTATCGCTTTGTGTTAATTTGAGATAAGCATTACCAATAACTTTGCATTTGATTTATCTGTGAATTAATGTTGATGAGCAATTTGTATTCATTATCATTCCATTGATTTTCATTACGTATATCCGAGCTTTTTGATAGTAGGTTCGGTTAGACGATTTAATTCGGGTTGTTTCTGATGTGCCATACTTTTTTAAAACAAATACTTGCCAAAAGTTTTTGGTTTTAAATTTGTGATCTATTCAAATACTTATCGTCTAACAATGCCATCTCTTTAAATTTGTCTCTTTTAATTTTTTTTATTTTGCTATATTATCTTATCTTCTTTCTGGTGCATTTATCTCTGATTTGTGTGGATACTAACACAATTTGCTTTTTAAGTAATAAACTTTTTAAATTAATCACAAATATTGAATACCACAATTCATCCCTCTCCCCCTCTTTTGTGTTTGAAGTCACTTGTCCAAAATGTGACATTAGATCCTAACTCCTATTAAAGACTAATTGTCTCAGGAGAAAAATGACTATAAGTTATTCACTAAGAAAACCTCCATTCTTTAATGGAGAAGGGTAGAGTTTGTGATAAGAAAAAATGAAGTTTTTCGTAGAAGGGATGGATCATTGTATTTGGAAGGGTGTGAAATAAGGTCCATTTGTTCCTTCACTCAAAATTGATGGTATTGTAGCAAACAAACCTGAAAAATATTGGACCAAAGATGATAAGGAAAATGTGCAGCGTAGTTTGAATGCGAAAATTATTATCACTACCGCTCTCGGTCTTTAGAGTTTCTGCAAGTTTCTCACTGCGAGACTGCAAAGGGAATGTGAAATATCTTACAAGTTACCTATGAAGGTACTACTGAGGTATAAAGGGAAAGGTTTGACACATTAACTCAGAAGTAAGAACTTTTCATAATAAAATCGAAAGAGAACATAAATCTATTGCAAACATGGTTTACCCATATCGTGAGTCATATGAGAGCTCTTGAAAAAACATTTTCAAATGAGAAATTGGTTGTGAAAAATATTAGATGGCTAAACTAGAGTTGAAAACCTATATTCGTTGTGTTTTGTGAATCTTAAGATTTAGCAACCATGGACACAAACTTTCTTGACAAATCCTTCGATTCTTTTATGGATACTAATACATGATCGAATTTTGGAAGTAATGACCTCAAGATATTTGCAAATATTTATCTTGATGTCAACACTACTCGACACATCTTGATTTGATTCACCAGTCTCATTACTTTGGTGAAGAAATTAGTAATACTTTTGTTTTCTTTCATTTGAAGTCATTCATACATTCTTTTGTGAGTTTGTAACCTCGTTTCTTTCACTTTTTCAGCACCTCCCAAACGACTTTTTCAGAATGTCTCATGCTTTGTTCGATGGATCTACATCACCAACTTTCTCAAAGTTTTATGGATCAATGCATTGTTGGATTAAAATGAGAGCTTTATAATCATACTTCATCAAATTTTCATGTGCAAATATTTGTTCATATGTGGCATTCTTACCAATTGGTGTTACTATATTATTCACAAACGTCTTGATAGTAGAAAATGACCTTCATCTACTTGCACCAATTATCATAGTTCTTACCATTCAAGATGGGAAAACTTGTTGAGAAATTTTCATCCGGATGATTCATCTTGATTCAATGCGTCCCAAGAACCACACACAGTGCTCTAGATATCGGATGTTGGAATTAGTCCCAATCTTGGAGATAATTCGAATCAATCTTGATGAACGAGAATCAATCTTTCTGATTGATCACACCTGTTGTTCTTCATCCTTTACTTGAGTGAAACAACCACACTTTGGTTGCAAGATGATTCCCCTCAAATATTTAAAATGGAGAAGGATTTTGAGAAGAAAGAGAGAGTGTTCGGGTTCTGGGAGAAGAAGATTTTTTATTGAATTTTAAATGAATTACTTACATTACAAATAAGGGTGTCTCCCTATTTATAGTTGAGGTTGCTTGTACACCAAACAATCTTCTTAACTAATTTTATTTGACTAAGTACAATATACATGTCAACTAACTATCAAATGCTCACAACTTTGACTCTCACTTAATAAATTTGGCTCTGTTGGACTATGCGGAAGTAAACTTGTGTGACAATTTTATACCGACTTCGACAATGTCGAATATAATCTTAACACAAAAAATTATATATTTAACACTCACAAACCTCCAATAAGTCTGAAGGAACCCTAAATGGGCTCTGCTACGAGAAGAATGAAAATCCCATAATATGTGGTGACTAAGTGGGAATCACCCAGCAGTCCTAGTAAAACATAGCACCTTCCTTCAAAACATACACTGTTTGGACTCAGGATTGGTATGCAACACCTCAATGATCCTTTTGAAAAACGGATCTTCAATGACCTCTTGCTGCAAGTATTTCCTTGCGATAACGCACCAACCAACTACCTCAATGATCCTTGTTTCATATAATGTTTGATCAATAAATTTGTGGGGAACTCTTGGAGTTATATTTAAACAATAAATTTATTTTCTATTGGATTCAGGAATACTCCTGTGTATATCTTGTCATAACATTCTCATTGAGGAAACAATTTATGTTTCGTAGGAATGGTTGACACATGAAACAAACAAAATGGAAAAAAATTCCTAAGAGAAAAAATGTCATCTGTACAAATAATCCTAAACTAATCAATCTAAATCTCCATTAGCATGATTTACAGCTCAATTCAAGCGAAAAGTGAGGTTTAGGAAATCGTTTTCGCTGCATGGGATTGTAAAACCACCCATAGGATGATCATATCCAAATTCTTCTTCTGCTTCATTTAATAATTCTTGAAACAATGGTTGGTTCAAGTATGATACCGGAATCACAAACCGCCTCATTTTATCTCCAACATAGACAGCGAGATAGCCTTTAGGGACTTCAAATCCTTTGGTAGATCCCTGGGATGTTGAAAATGATGCCTTTCTGATAATACTTGTTATACGGAAACCCATTGTATTTTTTATGTTAATGGATTGGATGAGAAAGAAATTTTTGAAGTATGATAATTCAGGATGCAAAAGACTTGTAGTGCTTGTGAACCCAAGAAATATTGTTTATATACTTCCTAAGGGCGTTTTCAAACCAATTAACTAATGAATGCAATTTAATATGATGTGATAGGGCCTACTAAGGGACAAGGGGTCACATGGTATTGTCAAATAGAAGTCATTTTCAAAGATTAGGAAGCTAAATGGAAGAAGATGCACATACCCCACCTTCAAAGATAATGGCCAACATCTAACTCACTTGAAATTAAGACAATGCACTTGTGAAAGAAACCTGATGTCTGTTGTTGCATTTTGTTATAGCTATTTCAATGGTATACATGCTTTAGACATATCACACGCTTCTTCAAATGGACTATAATAAAACCAATATTGAAGACAAGATCACTATGAACCACAATTTATATTTATGCAAGATAAACTCCATGAATTTTGCATACCAGAATAGAACTTTGTGGTCCCTTCTCCCTTGCTAAATAAGTAACAAGGTCTATTAAACTTTCTTAATCATGGATAAAGACCTCTAAGACAATCCATGTGATCTTATATATCTCTTGTCTCCTTTGTAGATTTTTTCTCCTTCACAAATCATTCAAGTAGCCAACTATTTTTCAATATTCATTTATTATATATATATTCATGGCTACAAACATTTACACCCAACACAAATCATTCACTACCTAAAGCAGTCCAATTTCAAAACCTGCCTCTTGCTTACTAGTCTTTTTAAAAATCAACTCTTCTCAAGTTTTTACACAAATACAACTATGGGCTTTCCTTTCTCTGGTATCATCAGAAAGGCATCATTTGCTGCAAACCGAGCAGCTTCGAAAACTGCAGACATGCCAAAAGGATATCTTGCAGTATATGTTGGAGAAAAACAAAAGCGGTGCGTAATTCCCGTATCATACTTGAACCAACCATCATTTCAAGACTTGTTGAGCCAAGCTAAGGAAGAGTTTGGATATGATCATCCCATGGGTGGCCTCACTATTCCTTGTACCGAAGATGTCTTCCAAAATATAACGTCTCGCTTTAATGGGCTATGATCTTGTCACCTAAAGAGACTGACATAGTTTGCTAGAAAATTTGTTTTGTAAATTAGGCATCTTCTCCAATTTTATAGATGCGAAAAAATAACCATTAGATTGACATATTGTATATATATTTTGTTTAATGATATCAAACAAGACTATATTCAAGAAGCTTTTCTGTGTTTGTGATGTTTTATTCTGGAAATTTTCAAAACAGGAATAAAACACATGATTTCTGGCAAGGGAATAGCAAAATTAATTTTCCCCTGACACAGATGAAAAAAGAAATTTACCGAAATGTTTTTATTAAAAAAAAAACTACTTAATATAGACATGAAATTAAATTTTTGAGTACCAAAGCCTTAATCATACATGAGATACCTTCCCTTCATTTGCAACAAGTTTCCAATAAATGTAAAAGAAACAAGGTTAGTTATTCCACTGAATGACGCAGGACTCATTCTACGGTGCCTGATAGGATATCCTTCTCTAAATAAATGAATGGTTAGTACTTGGTTAGTAGGCTGTATAATGGAGTTTAGTGATACACAGGGGTTCACAAACCAAACCACCACAATACCACATGGTGTTGTCTTATAGATTTTGAGCATTTTTTTTTTCACCTCATGCATTTCTTACACATCATGTGAATTTTTTTATTATGCTCTTCGTTTTTAGAAACATATCTCCGAACGCACCTTATGTCTAACTAAACGTTAAAATATTTTGGAGATATATATCTCTGAAACTATTTAATCCTTAAACAGTCACATCATATCTCACATAGTCTATTTTCATTTGAATATTTTCAGAAATGCATCTACGGAAATTTTCCAAAGATACATCTCCTAAGTGTATCAAAACATGTTTTTTTTATAACGTGTTGTTTATTTGTTTATAGATGAATTATGATGCACGATCCCAAATAAAATAACAGACATACAAAATAATATAGTAATATAGTAATAAAATGTTGTAGGACACGAAATCCAAAATGTAATAACAATGTCAGAAAAAACGTACAAACTATAGTTCTGCGACCAAATAAATAAATACAACTACTGATTGTGCCTGACAACCTCTCCTCTACCTGCTCTGCCTCCTGAAATCGTTTCTACAACCGCCTATTTGTTGAATAGATGCCCTACAAAGAAGTTTGATAAGGTGACTCCAGAAGAGGTGTGGTATGGATTTAAACCAAGCTTAAGTCATTTGGAAGTTTTTGGTTCGATAGCATTTTGACACGTTTCGGGTCAACTCCGAAAAAAGCTGGACGACAAGGGTGAGATGATGTTACTCGTTGGTTATCATCCTACTGGAGGTTATAAGTTGTTTGATGTTGCAAACAAAAGGATCGTGATTAGCCGAGATGTTGTGGTTGACGAGCTGCGAAAGTTTGACAGCAGTAGAAAAATTGTTGATGCATGCCCCATAACGGGTTACGTAAAAACCTGTAACCGGTTACCATGTGTATTTTTGGATTCTTAAGCTTCAAGAACAGGTTTTGCAGAAGGCATAACGGGTTACGATCCTGTAACCGGTTACGAGCTGGAAAATCTGAATTTTCAGAATCCTGGAGGTGCAGAACAACAACATGTCGAAGCTGAAAATGGAGGAAATAGTAGAAGGCCAATAAGGCAAAGAGTTTTGCTTCAAAGACTCCAAGAATTTGAAGTATTTCGGGATAACGAAATCAATGATGATGGTGATTTCGTTCACTTTATGCTTATGGCCAAATTCGAACTGGTGAACACGAAGAGGCTCTAAGCGATCCAAAGTAGATTTGTGCAATGAAGGAGGACCTAGAATCTATTGAAAAAAATGGTACTTAGGAGTTGGTCGATTTTCCGCTTAGAAAGAAACCAATTAGTGTGTGATGGGTCTATAAAGTGAAGGCATATCCCAAAGACGAGGTGATCAAGCATAAGGTTCAATTGGTAGCTAAGGGGTTCTTGCAACATAAAGGTATAGACTTTGAGGAAGTATTTGCACCTGTGCCTAGGCTTAAAACCATCCGATTTGTTGCTGGCGTTGCAAATAACAACGATTGGGCGATATATCAAATGGACGTCAAACCTATGTTTTTTAAAGGTCCATTTGATGAAAAGGTTTATGGAGAAGCCCCCTGAATTTGTAGTAAAGAATCAAGAGATGAAGTTCTACAAATTACATAAAGTCTTATATGATTTGAAACAAGCTCCAAGAGCTTGGAACAAACGCATTGATGACTTTCTTGTTGATGTTGGTTTCAAGCGGTGTGCGTCCGAACACGGAGTTTGTGTGAGATCGGATGCAAACGATGGTGTGATCATTCTTTGCTTTATATGTGGATGATCTATTGATTACTGACAGTTATGAGAAGAATGTCTCTAAGTCCAAGAGTTAACTTATGAATGAGTTTGAGATGACGGACTTTGGCATTATGACGAATTTCCTTGGCATAGAGTTCCATAAGTAAAAAATGGGACTGCCCGTGTATTAAAGGGGACATGTTCTTTAGCTCTTAAACAGGTGTGGAATGGAGCATTACAATTCTTCGATTACACCACTTAAGGCAAGGTTTCAGTTGTTCAAGAGTGAGGATGAGAAAGATGTGGATCTAACACAATATAGGAGATTGATTGGATCATTGCAGTATTTTTGAAATACGCGATCGGACTTAGAATTTGGTGTAGGTATTGCTAGTAGATTCATGGAGAGATCGAAGGTGTCTCACTTGGCAGCAGTCAAGAGAATTCTTAGGTATGTTAAAGGAACTTTTGGTTGTAGAATTATCTTTCCTACATCGGATATTGGCCGAAAATGCGATTTACTTGGTTCGCCTATTCCAATTGGTGTGGTGATAAGGATGATAGAAAGTTGACAGCTGGATACATCGTTATGTTTGGTAGGATACTAATATCTTGATGTTCATGGAAGGAACTAGTGTTTGCACTCTCGTCTTTTGAGGCCGGGTACATTGCGGCTTCATTGTGCCTGTGTCAAGCTATGTGGCTCATGAATATATTGAAGGAGTTGGGTAGTGTTGCATCTCCATTAGGTCATAATTCATAATCATACATTGCATTGGTATTCTAAGACATGGGATTAGGAGTTTTTCTGAATCCGGTTTCTTTATTTTCCTTGAGGTACTTTCATTCAAGTTTGGTAGAGGGTTGAATTGTTAATGTTGTAATTTCACATCAAAGATCACCAAGTGTTAGGCTTACCTTCTTCAAGAGTTATCAGACATCAAGAACCTAGGATTTCATATTTACTTTGATTCAAGTTGGTTTGCAAGCTTATATTCAATTGGTGCAAGGGATCAGGTTTATCAGGGATAATGGTGGGGCTTCAAGACAAATGTGGTTATTCAGTTACAATTAAGATCAGACAGAAGTTTGACCTAATCCTGGTCAAACCATCAAGAGCTTGCTTCTATTTTCAAGTTACCTGCACCAGTGGCTATTTCTCAGTCAATGCGTATCCAAGGTCAATTTATTCCATATTAGAATTCATCAGGTTATCAAGCAGTGATTCATGTGAGGTTTGGTCCAGAAGATTAGGTTTATCATGATCCATCAATTCAAATTGTGCTCCTCTATGGATCTATTTTTCCAGAGATTTATCCAAACAGATTCAAAGTAATTCAGGATTCTCGTGATTGGAGATTCAGAGTTTGTCTCGTTCAAATGGTTGTTGCTTCAATTGCAACTTGTCCAGTGATTCAGAAGTGGGTTCAGTCATTTTTAGTCAGAAGTTGTAAAAAAAAGTTCAAGTGTGTTTTTTGAATTAAGTCCAGCCAAGATGTGCGTCAGTGGAGATATCGGTGGAGGATTTATTCAAGTACACTCTGAATTTTATTCAATAACCGTTTTCTCATCTAATTTCACCCATTATCTAATTCATGTCCATATTCAACTAACCATTCTTTAAATCCCACCTTTCACTTTAATTCATTTTTTCCCCTAGAACCACTATTAATGACCAATATCCATTCAAATGTCCATATCCATTTTCATACCCATTCACTAACCATTTTCAATTATCTAATTATCTCTTTTAGTACCCATACCAATTCCATTTTCTAAGCCCATTCAATTTGTCTACAAATAAAACCCATTTACATTTCAAAAATTACCAAAAAAGGCCACCAAGGTTTCTATTGTTCATAAAATATTGTTCAACAAAGAGTCATTTCCACAAAATGAAAAAAAACCAAATTCAAGAAAGAACCATTACATAAAGACAAATTGCCAAAGAAAATGTTAAAATTTGAAAGAAGCTATTCTCAGTGAGCTATTGGTACTTGATAAATTCACTACATGCTATTATACAACATGCCACCATGCTATGGTCCAGCTCACTATGCAAAAACCACTGCTTCACAAAACTTGACATAAAGCAATATCAAGTACCTCACGCAGGATCACCCATCACGCTTCCCAGCCGTGGTTCATAGTATTTGAGAAACCAATACACACCAGAAAAGTCGCGGAAACACTTGAAACAATTCCCTTCAATAAGTTCTGCAATCCTGCGTATCACTACAAACCGCAACCTGCAATCTTGCGTGTCACATGCCAAAACCTGCAGCAATACACTCTCCAAAGACCAAATCCACAAACCATGTACAAAAACAACAAAGCCACATAGTTGCTACAATTCTGCTCCTACAAAAAAATCACGCAAGCCACACAAAACACAACGCAGAACACTCCAAAATGAAGAAGATGGTTGTACAACATCAAAACGCAATAGGCGGAGAATTAGTACATGCTGAACCTGACCCCACAACCTGCAGGAGGCATATTCCAAACGCACAAAACATCTGTCAAAACGACCTCTTCATAAAATACGCACAGCAAAAAAATAGGTTGATTTTGTAAACAAATTCCATACGCTCTTCTCTTCTCCTATATATAGAGACACCTTATTCATTCTGCAAAAAAAAATCTCAGAAGAAGAAAAACCTCTACTATCTTCGCAAACCTTCACTACCCTTCTTCTTTTATTTCATCCTAAATCGCTATAAC